ATTTAATGAGGTCCTAAATCATTTTTATCATTGACAGAACATCTTATAAACAAAGACTGTTTTTCCCTGCCTCTTTATTTGTTTTATCTCGGTGAGTGGCATTTTTATGACTTTAGTGACTTTTGACGTTGGGTCGATGGGTTTGTTCCTTGCCCACCATTAGCACAACTTCTCTGCAGGCATATGGTCTCAGTTGTTTAGTTTTAATTACGCTAGCGGATAGGTGCCAGACGTGAGTGGTGCTGAAGCCACTAAAGCTAAACAGAAGTGGAGACAACCAACCCCCTTCACACAGAGTTAGCTTGTGAAGCACCGAGGTTTTTTTATTTGTTGTCACAAAAGGCCTGCATTGGGACCTGACGTCGACGCACAGCGCACAACCTCGGCCACCGCCTGAGTCGGTGTTACTGCATTTGCCAACTTCTGGTTTGTTTCCAGCTTTGCTTTGCTCTGCTCTCCAGCCAAAAACGGTGGGATATGAATGGATCAAAGTGAGGGGTCATGGTCTTGGCTTGTAAATGGCCTAGCTCCAGAAAGTTGGCACGGAGTGGCCCGCAGACCCGGCTAACCGTTAAATTTGTTAAATTCGCCGTAAAAAAAAACTCGAGATGACGGAGACAATACTTTCTCCGGTTCCTGTCCATTACCATCTAATTGCTAAAGTAAAAAAAAGATTCTTATTAGCTTGTTCTGAAACAGTAGTTGCTTGGTTAATATTGCATCATTTGTCCTGCATTATTATAATAGAAGATACTCAAATGTTGATATACAACTCTAAATTATCCAATCTAAAAATGTATGAATAGCTACGTGGAAATTATGTATGCTGCCAGCCAGTTCATTTTGCAAAACACACTCAAACTAACAATGCAATGATTATATTTCATTTTAAGGTTAATTCTGTTGTAACGGGGAGGTGGGCTATTCTGTCTTACTCCATTAATGTTGCTTTAATAAGTACTTTATACCATACCAAGTACATTCTTTTAGGATATAATGATCCTATGATTGAGCAAAATTTTTTTTACATCATGATAACATTAATATTTGTCCATGTATGTAAAAACTGTACATTCCTTGCATACTTTATTTTCACTTTTAAAGGGTATGTTTATTAAAGTGCTAATTTGTGTTCGATCAGATACCACTTTAGAAAGAGTACGGATGTGCCCAGGGGCTGTTTACTATTGACGCCGTCAGCTCAGTCACTCATTCAGCCTCTCTGCTGCCCCGAACTTCAAGCACTTGAGTTTATGCATGGAGCTGAACACAGTAAACAAAAATCATGCACATGAAGAAAAGATCATGCCTTTAGGAGACGTTTACTGCAGTAGGCTTAAGCACGTTTCAGCATCCTATTACGGAGATATTGTGGGATCTGAGCCAGTAATACGTTAAGCCTTTGTGTGGGCCGCATTCTTTATAAATATTTCACAAGCTGCAATCCCCTGTGGCTCTCTGATTCCCTGTGATCCATGCGCTCAACTGAGATGGCAAATATACCCTCTAACTCTGATGTGATTCATAAACACCAGCGAGTGTATATTTATCCCAAAATGAACAACGGTGTCACGTTTAGTAGCTTTTTATTCTGTTCAGAGATATAAAAATATGCAGTTTCCTTTAGGACCAGGCGAGACTCCCGGTAAGCTGTAGTGATTAATTATTTCTATTTCCATGAGTAACAATGCAAGAGAGCAATATTGTGAGCGTACACCGAAATTGATTTCTCTTAGACGAAGGTACTTTGCAAACCCACTGGCTATCAACAAAGACTCGTTCATGAAGCCATTCCTATATACAGACACAGACACGATTTCAACTGAGAGGATGGGTACAAACTTATCAATCATTGGAAGGACGTTATCAATCAGTTTAAGTCATAACTGGCTGTTATGTTCCCATCCTGCCACCTTCCGATGTTAGTTGTTATTTTCGGCTCTTCGATTTTACATTAACAGGTTAAATTTCTCACACCAACACAGCCACCTCCGCGCGCAGACCCAAACGTGGCGTGGCTTTGCGATCTTCTATTAACATGCTAATCTCTCACATTAACATGCTCATCTCTCACATTAACATGCTCATCTCTCACATTAACATGCTCATCTCTCACATTAACATGCTCATCTCTCACATTAACATGCTCATCTCTCACATTAACATGCTCATCTCTCACATTAACATGCTCATCTCTCACATTAACATGCTAATCTCTCACATTAACATGCTCATCTCTCACATTAACATGCTAATCTCTCACATTAACATGCTCATCTCTCACATTAACATGCTCATCTCTCACATTAACATGCTCATCTCTCACATTAACATGCTCATCTCTCACATTAACATGCTCATCTCTCACATTAACATAGCCACCTCAGTGCGCTCGGCGTGGAGGCCGCTCACCGATCTTACATTAACATGCTCATCTCTCACATTAACATGCTAATCTCTCACATTAACACGCTAATCTCTCACATTAACATGCTCATCTCTCACATTAACATGCTCATCTCTCACATTAACATGCTAATCTCTCACATTAACATGCTAATCTCTCACATTAACATGCTAATCTCTCACATTAACATGCTCATCTCTCACATTAACATGCTCATCTCTCACATTAACATAGCCACCTCAGTGCGCTCGGCGTGAAGGCCGCTCACCGATCTTACATTAACATGCTAATCTCTCACATTAACACGCTAATCTCTCACATTAACATGCTAATCTCTCACATTAACATGCTAATCTCTCACATTAACATGCTAATCTCTCACATTAACATGCTAATCTCTCACATTAACATGCTCATCTCTCACATTAACATGCTCATCTCTCACATTAACATGCTAATCTCTCACATTAACATGCTCATCTCTCACATTAACATGCTCATCTCTCACATTAACATGCTCATCTCTCACATTAACATGCTCATCTCTCACATTAACATGCTCATCTCTCACATTAACATGCTCATCTCTCACATTAACATAGCCACCTCAGCACGCTCGCCGTGGAGGCCGCTTTCCGATCTTACATTAACATGCTCATCTCTCACATTAACATGCTAATCTCTCACATTAACATGCTCATCTCTCACATTAACATGCTCATCTCTCACATTAACATAGCCACCTCAGCACGCTCGCCGTGGAGGCCGCTTTCCGATCTTACATTAACATGCTAATTGTTACCTGGCAGCCCTTTAATTGGTGGAAACCCACCACCAGCATCGTCGTTGACCATCGCTTACATGAGCTGCCCTGCCCATGTTGCTGATGTTTGGGCTTCGTCCATTTTAAACCTTTATAAACAGTTTGCCTTTGGAGGCTATAACCCCCCTTTTCGTGATCACGACCGCTTGTGTTGCGATCGAAACGTCGTGTTTTTTTTTTTCTTCTATCTACGTGACTTTACCGAAAGAACCAAAGAATAGTATTGTACTTCTTCGCCAAAGGCCCATGTCTCAAGGCTATTTCAGCAGGGTCGTGTTTGAGAAGTTTGGCTAATTCCATTTTGAGGTGCAGTATTTGTGTGTGTGCCCAAGCCCACCTACTCTTCTTAAGTGAATGTGATGTCTCGAATTAGTGTTTGATTCTCTGATCCATGTGTTCCTCCTCCTGTAATTTCCATAAGTGCACAAGAGACACTTATCAGCTTTTTTTGATGTGTTTTTGTCAGTGGGAATGTGCCCAATCGATTTGGCATAGCAGGTATGCCAGATCCATACAAGCTATACAATATGTCCCTGTTTACAAACATAACCCATGATATTCACGCAGACATTCATGAATAAACATGGTTAATCGAATTCATTTTGTGCAATTTCTAGATTATACAAAAATACGTGGATAATATGATGAATGGAGCGCTTCCAGGAGACCACTTTCGGGTGATATCTACAGGTAAACTAATTTCGGATGGATTTCCTGCCACTTGAAAATCAAACCATTTATCTGTGAAAACACAATAGAGTGGAAAATAGCATACTATACTGTATTAGAAATAAGTTTTGTTGGCTGGATTCCTGACTGGTTGGTTTCCTGGCGGGCGAAACGTGTCCACATCTGCGAGATGACATCACCAGCATTCCACAGCATAAAGCCGGCCGTGTATCGTACACATGTGATAGACGTAGATGGAGGTGAGGGAGGGATATAAAGAATGGAGAAAGAGGGAGCTGAGGGAGGGAGATAGAGGAAGAAGGAAAATACGGAGAGGCGTGGGGAAAGAGTGAAAGGGCATGAAACGGAGAGGAGAGGAGAGTAAAACGGAAAGAGGAGAGTGAGGCAAATCAACAAGCAGTGGGAGAATTATGGGAGAGGCAATAGATGGGAAAGGGAGAGTGAGGGTGAGAGAGACAGGGCTGTATGTAAGATTGAAAGTTTTGCTGGCTGACTGGGACGGAAGGACGGTCACTTATAAAGTACGTGCGGGTTGCTAGTTTATATTGTCAAGGCTCGGATTAGTGCCGTGTATCTCAATGTGAATGCTTCCACTCTATTATTTTATTTTCAACCCAACAATCGAGTACTGTACAGAGAAGCACAAGAAGGCAGGGTACAACAACGACTCAACGGCCAAGATAAACATATAACAATAGAGGACTTTAAATAAATACGAAGGAAAAACTACCACTGTATATTATTTTAATAAGAAAATTACTAAACCGGTATAGGAGGGACGCACATCTGTGGCGTTGTGTCTACAGTTTATATATATATATTGTCTATACACAGCAACTGCACATCCTCCAACCTGCTCATGGCAAGTCCAGTCCGGATATTGCCTCTCCTTTACATTTGTCCACCCAAATCAATCCCTCTCACCCGGCCAGCTTCCCTCCCTCCTCCCCCTATCCCTCCCTATCCGTCTGCCTCCCTCCCTCCCTGGCCCTCCTGCTCCGTGCTGCCCTACCTCCATCGCTCCCTCCCTCCCTCCCCTCTTGCTCCGTCCCTCCCCCGCACTCTTCATTAGTATCACAATGAGCAGCAGCAGCCGCCGCTGCCTCCCGTGTCATTGCGCAGCGCCAGTGCGGCCACAGTCCCAGCTCACCGGATCCTCCTCCTCCTCCATTCACTTCCACGCCGCAACTCAACTCGCCATCCCATAGCCGTCGTCACATCATCACTCGCTCAGCCACCGACCCACCCATTCACCAAAACCTCACCGGCTCTATCAAAACAGAACGCAAAATCATCTCCGGCTAAAAGGAGGACATCGGGGAGGGTGGGTAAGCAAGAGAATGTATATGTGAGCAAGACTCAAGATATGTGAGCAAGAGGAGCGACACAAGCGAGCGGGCAGGGAGAGCTTTGGAAGTGGGACAAAGAGGAACAACGGGAGAGTGGGAAGGGGCTTGAACGAGAGAGGCTTCGGCGTGGCTCACAATTTGGGGGGGGGGGGGGTGCTGTGAATATATATCGTGGCTGGCTATGCGCCGCTGCTGCTGCTATTGCAGTCGGGAGCAGCAGAAGAAGCGGCAAGAGGAGGAGTCATCGGAGGAGGCGCGCGGCAGCCGCTCTGGATGAATCTGCGTCAGCGCTCGCAATGGAATCGTGCGCAGGTGGGCGACCAGCGAAACACCATCATCACCAACCGCGCTGGACGTGGCTCGCGTTACACATTCAGAATTCGTACTTCTCGTTCACTCTCCGTCGTTACTGCCACCGCTGCTGCTGCTGTAACACTGATCACTTCGAGTCTGGCTGGGACTGTGCCAACACTCGAAACACTTTTAGCACCACTTTGCAGCATTCCTGATTTCATAGCTTTTTTTATTATGAATTGAATTCATTTTATTAATGGAGCGATTTTTTTTCGATATCATAGCTCGAAAGATTATTTTACGCTTGTACCGTGGACTGTAAAAGCAATTGTCCGCATTTTGACATTTATTTTTCGAAAATAGGCGAAAATTAAGTGTGCGTTTTAATTAAATCGCACAACTACCGCGTGCATATGCATGCTGTGATGTGCACAGCCAACAGGTCACACGCGGCGTGTTTATCTTGCCGACTGCGTGACGCAATGGGCAATTGATCAGAGAGCGGACGCCTTGTCTAGCGATATTGCGAGACGTTCGCGATTGTTTGCTTCATTCATCCCCCGGTGTCGTCGTCGTTATTCGTTGAGCGTTTTAAATACACAGAGGAACGCATCCCTGCAAGAAGAGCAAGCACGGCATCCCCAGTGTGACCACGCTGTTATATAACGCGGCGGTGCTGGTGGTGCTGGTGGTGGCGGTGTTGTTACGTGCGAGCAGCTGCAGGACGCGTTGCTTGCCAGTTGGTGGATCTTCTTTCATTCATAAGACACGGGAATGTGTTTTTTTTAAAACGATATTGTATGTGGAGAAGACGGCAATCGTTGATTTGGGTCGGTTCGTACGTGCCACGCAGATGATGTTGTGGTGTACGTAACATACACATTCTAGATATGATGTCACCGTGAGATGTATTTTACAATTTCCTATCCTTGTTATTTTTTGTATGGACAGTCAAGTCATTCAGACGGGTTGATAAAAACCGTGTGCGGGCATTCGTTGACGTTTTCTGCTAAGGGCCGCTTATGCTTATTGTCTGACGAGGTCCTTGACGCCCCTCTTATGTTTGCGAATGTGAAATATTGTTGTCTCGGGCTTCCTGTAAGGTGCAAGCTGTGTTGGTGTGTTGTGTATGCAGTACAGTATCGTGTATATACAACCGTCATTCACTCCTCCAAATAGAGAAACAAAAATGAGATGTGGACTTGAACTGGCGTTCGTGTTGGGACATTATGGGTGGTGAAACGGCTTAGGGTGGGATTGTGGCTGGCTGGGCTAGCTTTTACTTTTACGCTTATTGATAGATTCAAGGAGATGGGTATTACTGTAGTCGGGTTAGGTTATGGATATTATGAGATGTTTGGGTAGATGATTGGTTAGAAGTTTGTTTTGGGCCCTTGTTTAATGTTAGGTTTATGTTTAGTGTTAGATTAGGGGCTCTGGTTAGTGTTAGGTTTAGGATTATGGATGGATTTGAGTGTTAGGATTATCGTTATGGTTACAGCTAGTGATAGGGATAGGAATGGGATTACGCAAACACAAAATGTAGAGTTGATGTTTTGAAGAATATTGTAGAAAATTAATCGGAACATGAAATTGATTCATATAATTTTCTAATAGACACGTACATGCACATACATAGACATGCAGAGTATATATCGTTGTGCTGTTTACAAAACACTATGCGATATTGATAAATATGCAGTACTGTGCTCGATGCAATATGTTTGGGTTTCTTTAATATTACCGAGTCTACAACTGTACCACATGAAACCGTGGTCCAGATTTTCCACCCGTGGAGTCTGTTTTATTTCAAATGCAAGTGAAAGGACTGACATGAATATATGTTCATTAGTAAAATACTGCAAAAACAATGTAACTCCCTATGCCATTATGCCATCCCAAAGTGTGAAAACACAACTTGAGGTGTTATAATGTTGCTTTCTAAAAATGTCACGTGCAAAGATGAATTACCCAGCGTTGCATAGCTGTGCGGTCGACATACGGAGAGAAAAAAAGCGCTCTGCTGAGGAATCGAGGCCGACATCAGCGATGAATCGCAGCCTAAGCTGTCTGCTGACGAATACTTGCATCACCACTCTTCCCACGTGCGGTGAAGCCCACTGCTCTATGAGTTTGATTCTCGTCCATTAAAAAAATAACATCGGTGGCAGGGCCCAGCGGTGGCGAGATGTTGCCTTGCTAGCTTGGTATGCAGGAGGTCGTGGGTTCGATTCTGACCCTGACGCCCGCTGCTGTATATTTGTAGTTTGCATGTGCCCTCTCTTGGTGGTCGCGTGGCTTTACTCTGGGTCCTCCAGTTTTTCCCTCCACATTTAAAAACATGCGTTTAGAGTATTTTGCCGCTATATATTTCTGCATGATAAGCCACTTCGTTGAGTTATCATTTTCGGCCAGGTCGCTTCTGAAAAAGAGCTGATAAAATATTAATAGTTGAAAGTGACATGTGAACTACTGGTCGTGAGACCTCTCCTCTTTTGATCAAACAGGGCTTTATTCAGCAGCGGGACTGACAAAGGACTGTACATGAGTTTGTTATTTACAATAAAGCCAGAGTGAGCTGGTTTTGGATTCTCTAATGATAGGCTGTGTTGTTCCTACAAAAAAACACGTTTACCCAGCACACATTAAAAAGTATTTAGTGATTCACAGAGGTGGGACCTAATGTTATGCACATCATGCTATGATCCTGTGAACGTGGTTAAATTACTGGCCATGCACATACACTGATGCAATTGACAATTGGTATCTTAACATAGTGGTGAGTGCAGTGGTTAGCACACTACGCTATGACTCGCAGCAACCCGAGGTTGATTTCAGTCCACAACTTACATTGGTGACGAGTGGTTATCTGAATAAATCCTGGGTATCTCCCCCCAAACCCCCTTTACCAGCCCAAACTGACTATCATGGTAAAGTATGGTCAAACAACCTTCACCGACATGGTAAGGACAGGGCTTCATCTATCAGTGACACGAAGGGTTGTAAACAATGCTCTGAATATGGTCTGGGCCTCCTGTGAAGTAAGTTTAGCTTAAAATGGGTCACTCGTACGGTGTATGTGTATCTCAACAATTGGGGGACATGTGTTGGTCCCCTATATCCTGATGTCTCCGGCCTTAAAAGTTTACAGCGTTCTACCCGCACGTGTCCCAGTAGCCTACATGGCAAAATAGGATATTTTTCGTGTTTGTCTATAAATTACTGTGCAATACAGGCACATCCTGCAGTACTGTAGATGTTTACATGTTTTATTAATTAACTTGTAAGTTACAGTACTTAGACATGACAATCAGTAAGTATCACTGGTTTTAAACTAGGTTTTATATATATTAAAAAAAATTCAGCATGTGATTACAAAGGGTGTAATTATTCGTTTGTCAGGATTCAGGATCGTGATTCTATGAAATACATTTTTCATTTTGGTGAATGAAACAGCCTCAATTGCCTGGCGGGTTCATGTGACGCAGGACAGAATAAAACAATTAATCAAGATTTTTACTGCACACGTAATCCGATGCATCTGTCATGTATTTTAAGCATCAATATTAATTGATTAATCATGGTGTCATAATTCTAAATATATCACAACAGTATAACATAGTTTGGGTTTTTTTGGTCATATTTATGCAGACAACTCGGTTTTGTAGAAGACGACAACTTTAATAACTATGAACAACTGAAATTGAAGGTGATTTATTTGATCTATTGACCTGACGTATCTGGGAACATAACTACCCCCCCCACACACATGCCCTTGCTAGCAAACCACCACAGAGCTTCTGGAAACAAACAGTGCCCCTAACTCTGGACAATGTGTTTCAACCAGAGAAGTGAGATGGTTAATCTCACAGGCAAGTGCCAACTGTTTGCCGAATTGCACAAACAAGTCTACACGTTGCCTTTTTACACAATACTGTACTACCAAATCACTCCCAATGTGCCTGATCTCGTAATACTTCGATTTTTAAAGGATTTGTCTTACCGAAAACAAGCTTTAAAATGCATTGGGTTCCATGGCGTTGTCTCCAACTCTGTCTGCCCTCTCTGTTCATGTGCTGTAAAGTACGGCCATTGCCTAAACATCACCAACTTATTTTATATATTTTCTCATTGAGTAATGTGTTTTTGACTAATGTGTTTTGTTGTTGTTTGTGCTTGTGCAACACTCCAACTCAACATCGCCAAATAATTCGTCCGATTTTGGAAGCCAAGCAGGTTTGAGCCTGATTCGTCCTGCACTGGAAGGGTGTGCAGTATATAGCAGCACAATATTTTTTTCTTGAATACATCTGGAATGCTTCGACTGTTACCCTCTCATTAATAATAATGGCATTTATAAAGCGCCAGATTTAGCAGAAAAGTCAACAACTCAGAGGTGCGGAGCCAAACTCAGGGGCTGCTTGAAAGCCTGACCCAGACAGATAGGCCTTCAGATGTTTCTTAAAAAGGTCAGAGTGCATTTGATCTTGCGGATGTGCAACGGGACAGAGTTCCACGCCTAGGCAGCAACGGCAAAGAACCGACGTGTGAGGCTCTTAACAGTTTGAGATCTTGGTGTCTGAAGCAGATTTGGGGTTTTCTAGAGGCAATCCGGTTTTCTCCCACATGCGTGAATGGCACTGGCCAAACAAGAGGAACCCTCTTCTTGGTTCTTTCGGTAAAGTCATCACGTAGAAGGGAAATAATAAAATAATAAAAATAAAACATAATAAAATAATTCAAACGACGTGTCGGCCACAACGCAAGCAGCCGCCCTCGGGTGAAGAACAGGTATGTCGGCCGAAACGTCGTGAGAATGATTTTATAATGTTTATTTATTATTTTATTATTTCCCTTCTACGTGACTTTACCGAAAGAACCAAGAAGATTAATCCCTGCAGTCACGAAAGCTTTAAATTGAAATTTAAGAGGGAACCCTCCTTTGAAAGTCTTGATATTCAGTCGTGTTCTCCTGGTTAAAGGGCATTGCTGTGTTATGGGAGATACAGGTACTGTAT